GTACTCATTATTTAAACAGAATGTTGTTAATAATTTAACCATCTTTATTTGTATTTTTGTTGTTATATTATTGGGGTGTTTACATTTATTATGATTTTAACAGCAATGTGCGCAGTGTACAAGAGTTATGACCATAAAAGCTTGTAAACCTCCATAAAACCCCCAAAGTAAGAGAGTTTTAACTTTCATACAAATAACTTCTAAGGAAATCAATATATTTTTTAATGAATTCTTTATCAACACCAGTTCTTAGCTAAGATTTCTTGCTTTGTCACAATATTTTTTTAGGAATATGTCCTAGATTATTTTAGGACACTTGTAGCTTTACCTCTAAAAAAGTACAACTAGACTGTTTAAGCACAGGTTCATTGTTACTTACTGTGTTATTTTTCATTGTTACTTACTGTGTTAACTAAATGCTTAATATAATACTAACAATTAAATAAACTAAAAATAATACTAATACTTAAATATAAATAACTATAAACATGTACTAACATTTTAGCCGGCATTAACAGTTTATACAAATATTTGTAGTTGTTTATATTAAGTATGAATTTATACTATAAAAAGAATAAAAATTTATACTATAATTTATTTGGACTTAATTTAATATTCCAATAAATGTTAATTGTTTTAAATTTATAAATATTAAAAAGTATTTAAAATAGTTTCATTGTACAATAATTAGATTTCTAGCCCTATGTTCTTTTTAAAACTAAAATAGCCATCTGTTAGAACTTTATACATCATCATACATAAAAGCAATTTTTTTTTAATGTTTAAAAACTCCTAAATGTGCTTGACATAAAAAAATACCAAAAAGTTTGAAATTTTTTTAAATAAAAAATCTTTTTAGAGGCTCCTCAAGACCTTTGAATGTTTAACAGGTTCCTTATATCAATAAAAAGTTCTTTAAAGTAATCTGTTCAAAAAATTTTACATCCAGTCTTTTATTACATTACACAAGTATAGAGGATCAAGCATAAATTTTCAAAAATATTGTTTTTATAAACCACCCTAATACATTAAAACTTCATATATCAAATTAGAGTTTAAACAAAAAACAAGTAATTTTTTTTGAATTCAGCAGCCTGGTTTTTATCATTTATATTAAAATGTTATAAATATTTATTATTAATTTAAATTATTTTTTGAATTATTTCAGTATTTTTTTTTGTTTGTTTGTTTGTTTGATGGCTCTATGAATTGTAAATGAATATTTTAGCTTCTAAAACCAATTTTAAATTTATTTGTTAAAGTTTTAATATAATAATTATTTTATTTCTTATAAAAACCAGTACTTTTTATTACACTATTATATTTGAGTTTTTTTGAGAATTTTATGTAGCATTTGTTTTTGTGTTTAAGTCTTTTGCTATTAAAAGTGTTTATAAAATCAATCATGAAAAAAAGGACAACATACCAGTTATAGTCTTGCAGAAGTGTTATCCGAAGTTGTCATCTATACTTTCAAAACTATTTAACAAGTGCTTATCAGAGTCTTGTTTTCCAGCCTGCTGGAAAGAAATGTTATCCCTATTTTTGAAAAATTCAGGAGAGTGATCTGATTAGCGATCATCTAACGTCCTGTTAGTCTTCTTTCTATCATAAGCAAGGTTTTTGAATCTTTAATTAAAAAACACTTAATCTCTCATCTTAAATCTAATAACTTACTTTCTGATCATTAATATGGGTTTCTATCTTCTTGTTCTACAGCTGATTTGGCAACAGTAATAACTGATTAGTTTTATCGTGCATTAGATAAAGGTGGAGAGGTTAAGGTCATCGCTCTTGACATTTCTAAAGCTTTTGATAAAGTTTAGCATGCTGGTCTTCTCCATAAGCTTTTTTCTTATGGTGTATCTGGTAATATCTTAAAGATTATTGAATCCTTCCTATCTAATCATAGTATAAAAGTTGTCCTTGATGGACAGCACTCTTCTTTATATTCTGTAACTTCTGGAGTTCCTCAAGGTTTTATCCTTGGCCCTATACTCTTTTTAATTTATATTAACGATCTTTCAGATATTCTCACATCTAAGTTGGCATTGTTCGCTGATGATACTACCTTTTATTCTTGTCATGATAAGAAGCCAACACTCTTTAATTGCTTGGAGAAGGCATTTGAGCTTGAAAAGGATATCACTACTTCTACAGCATGGGGCTCACAATGGCTGGTGATCTTTAATTCAGATAAAACTTTTTTCACCCAATTATTATTGCAATATTTTAGTCCTTCCTATATTTATGAATGGTAATGTACTTGTTGAGGCATCTACCCTTGGCCTTCTTGGATTAACATTTACTTTCAATCTTTCTTGGAAACCGTATATTAATTCCATTGCAAATTTAGTATCCGCTAAGGTTGCATCTCTTTATCGAGCTTGACACTTTCTTACTCTTTGTTCTAATCTCTATAAATCTCTAATCCGTCCTTGTATAGAATACTTTTGCCATATCTGGGGCGAATCTTCTAATGATGTCCTTTCTATGTTAGACAAGGTGCAAAAATGCATTGTAAACATAGTTGGAGCTGCTCTTGCAGCCAACCTCCAACCATTATCACATTATCGTTACGTTGCTCCTCTTTCTCTTTTCTACAAATACTATAATAGGCACTGCTTTAAAGATCTAGCGTCTCTTGTGTCTCATCCTTTTTTTGTGACTGTTCCTAAATGCTCCAAAAACTCTTATTTGCCTAGTTTTTTCTTCGAACATCAGTTCTTTGGAATTCGTTTCCTTTATCTTGCTTTCCTGATTCATATAATCTGCAATCTTTTAAATCGTCTGTCAATTGTTATCTTGCTCTACAAACTTAATCTTTTCTCCCGCAGTAACTTCCAACTCTTATAGTGGTTGCTTGCAGCCTTGTTGGAAGTGAAGATGTAAACAAAAAACAAAATAATTAGCAATGTAGTCAATGAGTCAATACCCTTAATTTTCTAGGATTAACTCTTACTTTTGATCTTTCTTTGAAACCATATATCAAATTAATTACAAAATTAGTATCTGTTAAGGTTGCATCTCTTTCTAATGCTCCACACTTTCTTACTTCGGATTCTTTATCTCTATAAATTTCAAATCCGTCATTGTATGGAATACTGTTGCCATATCTGGGACGGATCTTCAAATGATGCCCTTTCTCTGCTCTAAGAGCTAGTGTCTTTTATGCCCTTTACTAAAATTTATTCTAATGTTACTCGTCATTTAATTAAGTCTCATCTTTTTTCTGTGAAGTGCTCCAAAAACTCATATTAGTTTAGTTTTGTTCCTCGAACATCAGTTTTTTGGAATTCCCTTCCTTCTTCTTGCTTTCCTGATTCATATATTTTGCATCTTTTAAGTTGCCTGTCAATCATTATCTTACTCTATAAACTTCATCTTTTCTCTTCCAGTAACTTCCAACTCTAATAGTAGTTGCGAGCAGCCTTGTTGGAATCGAAGATGTTAAAAAAAAGAAAAAAGGTGTGTATATATAGATATTTATACATATGCATATATATATATATGTATATATATATATATATATATATATATATATATATATATATATATATATATATATATATATATATATATATATATATATATATATATATATATATATATATAACATTATTACAAACTTTAAACAACATCATATAAATAATTTATTTTTTTATAATAAAAAAAATTTTTTTTTAATTATAAAAATAATTTTTTTGCTTGAAGGAATAGTTTTGTTTTGTGAATAGTAGTAGTTTAGAAAAATAATATTTAATAAAAGTTGTATCAGTTTTAGAAAATATTACTTCTATTATAATATTTCTTTAGATTTGTTTTTATTAATTAGTAAAATAAATTTGTTTTGTTGTAATTTATTTTAATAATATTTTAAGTTTAAAATGTTAACTTCCTTAATTCAAAAAAATAAAGGTAATTCTATGTCGTCAAATTCACGAGGAGCTAATGAGCCAAGCTGTTTTTTATTTAAAATAAAGCCTGATATATATATATATATATATATATATATATATATATATATATATATATATATATATATATATATATATATATATATATATATATATATATATATATATGTATATATATATATATATATATATATATATATATATATATGTATATATATATATATATATATATATATATATATATATATATATATATATATATATATATATATATATATATATATATATATGTATGTATATATATATATGTATATATATATACATATACATATACACACATACAAACATATATACAACATGAATTAAGTGATGGTGACTTAAAAATCTGAAATTATTTCTAAATTGTAAAACATTTTTAAATTGTATAACAGGAAACCGCATTGTGGTTTCCAATGACTTTTTTTTAATGATATTGAGACAATAAGTTTTGTAGTGTTTTTTTAATCACAATAAACTTTGATGATATAGTTGTTAGAAATAGATTTTTATGTGTATTTAGTCCTTTCTGGTCAAATTTTTTTTTCAGATACAGAAATTAGTCAGTTTTTAATTTAATTTATTGGCTTTTCATGCTTTCTACTCAAAGAAAAGTATCACTCAAAAAAAAACACAAGTATATTTTCAATGTACCACTATTAAACTAAATTGCATAAAACTATTTCATTGACTTGTTCAGTAAAAAGGACAAAGATTGTTTGTATAAAAGCAAATATTAGGAAATATGATTAAAAATAAAATATTGTTAAATATATAAAAATATAAAATATTATTAAATATATATGTAAATATATATGTAAATATATATGTAAATATATATGTAAATATATATGTAAATATATATGTAAATATATATATATATATATATATATATATATATATATATATATATATATATATATATATATATATATATATATATATATATATATATATATATATATATATATATATATATATATATATACACACAGTAATCGGGGGGAGGGAAGCTTCCTTCATCTTGCTTTCCTGATTCATATAATT